TTTTGAACCTGCCACCTCCAGTGTATAGGGCAGGCACCCTATTTCTTTGAGCCACAGGCGCTGCCCTCAATTGTGAATTCTTAAGACCAAGCATGTTACTATGTGGGGGGAACAATTAACTTTTTGTTTTTATAGACTCAGACCTGAGATACAGTTTGCTAAAGAGAAATCATTACCATTAATCATTACTATTAAAAACACATCTGGATAAGATTTTAAAATATCAATGATTATCACACTGATCTAGTGGAAATGGAACTATATGGCTTTAAATGGGTATATAGAATAGCATATTTTTTAAAAAAATTTATTTTTTATTTTATTTATTTATTTATTTTTGCCATTTTTGGCTGGGGCTGGGTTTGAACCTGCCACCTCTGGTATGTGGGGCTGGCGTCCTGTTCCTTGAGCCACAGGTGCTACCCCAAATAGCATATTTTTATTTTCCATAGATCTCATGGAAGAAACATATAACATTAACCTATAAACTTATGTTTGTTAGTCAAAATTAACATTAATGTCATATAGAAATATTTAAAATTGGTGGGGGGCTATTGTAATTATTTGTACTTAAACTAGTATTAATATAAAAATAATATATTAACTTTTAGTCACTTTTTTAAAATGACTAAGTACCCTCGCCACCAAGTTACATAGGTATGAAAATAAATAAAAACTTATGGCCTAAATTTTACCTACCATGAGCAAAGACACAAGTGGCTCTTTTAAAAACTGGGTTATCTCTCTGGGTTTCAGAACTTCTTCATTATTTTTAGGTAAATCAATGTGGATATTAAAGTGTTCTACTTGAACTTTCCAAATTTGAAAATTTTATGCCATTTAGGTTGTTACTATATACATACATGAACCAATTTAGAGGGAAAAGCAAACACAAAGAGAAAGTTATTTTAGACCACTATCAAATGCAAGTAAATAACTCATTTTCTAAATAATGAGATAATTGACAGAATTCATCCTGCTTTGGTAGTAAGCCCAAGCAGTTGTGTGTGTGTGTATGTGAGAGAGAGAGAGAGAGAAAGCATTGCTTTAATTGCATATTCCTCAAGTTTAATAGGAATCAACTATAAGCAAAAAACAAAATCAAGAAACATTAAAAAATAAATAAACTATTATGTGTTTTTATTTGAAACAAAAATGATATTGCCATAAATCTCTGATAGCCTATAAATTTACTCTATTCAGGAAGATGTTTCTTTGCTAATCCATATTTATCTTTCAGTCGTTCAATCAGCTGGTTTTGATGGCCTTCCAAATGGCCTTGCCTTGTCTAGGGAAGACCTGACAAGTAGAAAGAAAAAAAAACAAATGGTAAGTTTACCTTGATTATGAGAATTTCAGATAGAAAGAGAAGATCAAAAGGGGGAGGGGGAGAAAGAAAAATGGATGGAGATCACCAAATAAAATTAGGCAAAGTTTTAGAAATAAAACAATTATACAACCCTTCAGTTTGTTCATCTTGCCCCAATATATAATTTTTTAATTGGAACTGTATCTTAATAGTTTAACTTTTAAAAACATATCCGTTCACTAAACTAGAAACAAGGGAACAAATCCTTAGTAAACATGAAAATGCAATTATCTGAAATCTTGATGGCCAAGGGATACTGGGCTACTGTGCTATGCAGCCGCTCCACAGAGAGATGTGTGCACTTCTGAAGCAAGAGAGAATTGAGTCAGTGAACAAAGATTTTGTTTTTTCTTTCAAAGACATTCTAGCACAAAGAAGCATCACTTTCAGTACTGCCTGTTATCTTATCAAAGCAAGTACATGTTAGTTTGGTCAGAGTGAATAGCCAGAAATCTATTATCTTAAATGAGAGAATGGAATGATTTATGGGTTTTTTTTTCCCCCTACCTCCAAGCCACGTGCCTCCAGACCTTACCTCCATCCCAACTGTTTTCCTTTACGCTTTTTCCTTTTGAGTTCTTAAAGCATATTATTATTATTTTTTATTTTTAGTGTTGCAATCTCCAATAGTCCTTATTTTCACTCACAATTACAATACAGGGGACTATGGCCAATGCTATGCAGATGGCCAAATAGATAATAAAGACTCAGTTCATGAATAATATCCACTCAGAAAGAGGACAAAAGCAACAGGAAAAAAGAGCCCAAATTGGACAAAATGTGCGTGCTATATTTAAAAAAAAAAAAAAAGCACACGCGATCATTGTCAGAGATCATTAAGGGCGCCCTGTAATTTTAATTATATGCCAGTGGCACCAATTTGATGTGACTGTTTGCTCTTATAGTCAATAAAAAAAGTCATAACTGCCATCAAATTTAAATTTAATTTATTTTCTACACAGCCTTTTCTGTTTTCCTTGGGTTTTTTTTTTTCTTTTATAACATTAACACTTTTTTTTGTTAAAAAATGTGTGAAAGATTAATTTGTAGAATGAGGGGAGCTGTGGGTGCACAGCACAGGACAGATGGAGTGGGTGGAACATGACAGTTTTCGTCTGTGGCATCATTTTGTTGTTGCTATTGCAAGGGAGCAAAATAAAGCTACTGCTACCAGGATCGTTTCTTTGGGGGCCCCTCAGATAAGAGGTGTGTTGCTTTTTCCTCCTCCCGGCCCTGCTGCCGGGGGACTCAGCCATCCTCTACCCTCCATAAGCAGCCCACTTCCCAGCATCGTTTTAAGCCCGAGGGCACTTTAATTTTAAAATTGCATATACATAGAATTCCACCCGACTTGTACAAAGCAGAATGAAACATCCTTTTTCTTGGTTAAGCTGGCTATGTTGAAATGAATTACTGATCTGTCCGCTCTGAGATCCTATATGGTAAACCCAACGTATGTAACTCTGCCTGCAAAAAAAAAAAAAAAAAAGAATTAATGATATTTTTATGCTTTTATTTTTTGGCACGAGACCAAAATTCGACCCACATTCCAGGGGCATTTTTTGACTTTGTCAGAAAGGACGACGTGTAAGTTTCAATTTTTGCCTTGGAACAGCCCTAATTTACACATAAGTATTGTAGGAGTTTGCTATTGTAAAGGTTCTTATTGAAGAATAAGGCAATTACCACCGAAAATCACTGTCATATGGCACACACAGACATTCCGAGAAAAAGTAAAACTTTGAGAAGGAAAAGGGGAATTCAGGACAGCTTGTGGGAGGGAAGATGGGAGTTCTTTTTATGCACAAAGAGATCCATTAACAATATCTTTATCAGCTTCCTTCTTCCTTGTTAACTGAACCAACTTTCAGTGCCCAGAATATGCGAACGTGATTGCAAATAAATGACTGGGGGATGGGGGGGGGTTGTGCTCGGGGGAAAATGGTTGTTGGTTAATTCATGGCACGGCACAATTCGCCTCAAGTAAAACCTTTGCCTCAAACTGGCATGTCTGCCCCAGCAAGGCAAGGCGATCCACAAAACTATGTCAGCAGCCACAGAGGTGAACCCCCTATCCTTACTTCTGCAGTCATGAGGCCACTTCAGCCTGGAGATCAGCAGGTTCTTGGAGACAGGGTGTTCGGTATTCAAGTCTCATTTTATACCATTATGTTATTTTCCTAGTGAGACTGAAGGCTCTCCCAGGGAGGGGTTGTCTTTGAGCAGAGTGTGCTGTGCGAGGCAGTGCTCCACCAGTGTGCCTGGTTCACAGTCAGCTCTATGGGGATCCCGGTTATCATAAGGGTCCAGGAGGAAGGCAGCATAGCTCTGTGATTAAAATCCCCTGAGCATCAAGCTACCCCTAGCTAGCTACTCGTGCCTTAGTTTCCAATTCTATACAAACAAGGATGAGAATAATAGCATGTACTTTCATTATAGGGTTAGTGGGAAATTAAGGGATAGTCCTTTGTAAAGCATTGAGGCATTGTATGATAGGTACTTAATGAGGCCTAGAAATTACTTTTGGGGGGCTCCCAATACTTAATCCCCGAGGATCCTCCCAAACCCCAAATCCCTGGAATAAAATATTCCTTATTCTGTTTTACTAGAGACATGGGCAAATAAATAGCCAAATGTGGTGATGTGCATCTCTAGTCCCAGCTGCTCGGGAGGCTGTGGCAGGAGGAACGCTTGAACCTAGGAGTTTGAGGTTGCTGTGAGCTATGACACCATTGCACCTTAGCCTGGGCAACAGAGTGTGACTCTGTCTCAAAAATATATATATTACATTTGTGTGTGTGTGTGTGTGTGTGTGTGGCGTTGTCATTGATGTCATAGGAAACAGGCGGGAATCTGATATATGTATATATGTATATATGTATATATATATATATATGTGCCTGAATCATAGAGTCCACATACAGGAAACATGACAAAGAAAGGCGTGTCTACCAAATATCCATTTTTAAGAGAGTTATCTATTTTTATTTTATTTATTTATTTTTTGAGACAGAGCCTCAAACTGTCACCCCTGGTAGAGTGCCATGGCATCACAACTCACAGCAACCTCCAACTCCTGGGCTTAAGCGATTCTCTTACCTCAGCCTCCCACATAACTGGGACCACAGGCACCCGCCACAATGCCTGGCTATTTTTTGGTTGTAGTTGTCATTGTTGTTTGGCAGGCCCGGACTGGATTCGAACCCGCCAGCTCAGGTGTATGTGGCTGGCGCCTTAGCCGCTTGAGCTACAGGCGCCGAGCCTATTTTTTTAATTATTCTACCCGAATTTATCCATGATTCTATATGGTAGTAGAAACAAAAGATACACACGCACTGACATAAACAGAGCCAGAATAGGGGCTATTTATAAATCATACAATGAACACAATATGGGGATCCAGGGTATCATAAGGGGCCAGGAGAAAGGCAGCCTGGCACTGTGATTAAAATCCCAGGCTTCAGGGGCAGAGCCTGTCACTTATACTCATATATTCATGTAATTACTTACAGTCCTGTGTCATTTAACAATGGGAATAGGTTCTGAGAAAGGCACAGTTAGGCGATTTCTTCGTTGGGCAGACATCATAGGGTACTTGCACAAAGCTAGATGATACAGCCTACCTCACCCCAAGGCTATATGCATGCAGGGTACACCTGTCGCTCTGAGGCTACACACCTGTCCTGCGTGTTCCTATCCTGAATACTGGAGGCAGTTGTAACACAAGTGGCAAATATTTGTGCATCTCAACATACCTAAACATAAAAGAGGTACAGTAAAAAATATGGTATTAAAAGATAAAAAATCGTCCACCTACATAGGGCACTCCCTATGAATGGAGCATGCCAGACTGGGAGTTGCTCTGGGTGGGTCAGTAAATGTGAAGACCTACTGTGCGCTGCTCTAGACTTTGTAAACACTGTACACTTAGGCTACACTAAACTTATTAAATTTTTTTACGTCAATAATAAATTAACCTTAGCTTACCATACCTTTTTTACTTTATACATTTTTACTGTTTTTTTTTTAACTTTTTGATTCTTACCATGATAGTTAACTTAAACACAAACATGTGGTACAGCTATACAAAAATACTTTCTTGATGTCCTATTCTTTGCATCTTTTTCTATTTTTAAATTACGTTTTACTCTTTAAACTTTTTTGTGAAAAACTAAGACACAAATACGTGCATTAGCCCAGGTCTACACTGGGTTAGAATCCTCAGTATCCCTGTCTCCTACCTCCATGTCTGGGCCCTCTGGAAGGTCTTCAGGGACAGTTACATGCATGCTGCTGTCATCTATGGTAACAACGCCTTCTTCTGGAGCACCTCCTGAAGGACCTGCCTGAGGCTGTTTTACAGTTAACTTTTTTTTTTAGAGACAGAGTCTCACTTTATTGCCCTCAGTAGTGTGCTGTGGCGTCACAGCTCACGGCAACCTCCAACTCCTGGGCTTAGGCAATTCTCTTGCCTCAGCCTCCCAAGTAGCTGGGACTACAGGTGCCTGCCACAACACCTGGATATTTTTTTGTTGCAGTTTAGCCAGGGTCATGTTTGAACTCGCCACCCTCAGTATATGAGGCCAGCACCCTGCCCACTAAGCCATAGGCGCCTTCCAGTTAACTTTTTTTTCAATAAGTAGGAGTACACTCTACAATGATGATAAAAAGTGTAGTATAGTGAATATATAGACCAGTGACAGTCATGTTTTGTCATTATCAAGTGTGTGTACCTTACATTGTACGTGTCCTACTTTTACATGACTGACAGTGTAGAGGATGTGTTTACACCAGCATTACCACGGACATCTGAATAAGGCGTGTGCTCTGACGTTAAGACAGCTATGTCAGGTTCAATGATGAAACTACATTCTCTTACAGGATCACTGTCATATATGCGGTTCGTGGGCGACCATTCAGCACCTGTCCGTCTGTGCATGCTGATACACAAAATGTAAAGTATCCTTCTTCTTCTTTTGCTGTCTAATGCAGTTATGTTTATGCCCAAAACGCCGGAGAAGAGTTAATTCACTGACTGCAGAGGAAATTTGATGGGCTAAGACTAGAATGAAAATGGTAAGCTTTATCCATGACAGACTTTTAAACTTAAACAAAAAAGTGTGTATATGTACACAGAGGTGTCTAAGATTGCATTTTGTGTAAGCCAATTATTTCTTTTTTGAATTTTTTTATTTTTACATATACAGACAATTATTGAGTTTCCACTTTTTGCCTTCACAAAATTAAAAAGGCTTAAAATTTAACAATAATAACAATGTTTAAAATAAGGATAGAAACAAAAACCTCGTAAAGAATGAATGAAGATAAATACATTCAGAAAAGAAATCAGATGATTGCTGCAATGAAGTATTAAGCAATATTAATAGTAACCCAAAGAAGGTGACATTCGCATTGTTAAATAAGAGTACGTCTGTTCTAGAATGCTTTGACTCTGAGGTTCAGTATGGAGTCATCAATTAACTTCTTATTATTTTTTTCCAACGTCTCAAAAAATAGACAACTAATATTTGTAAATAAAAATAAAAGATAATTTCAAAAAACAGATCATGCCAAATCTTATAGACCATTAAAAAAGGAGAAATACTTCAAAATCATTCTGCTTAATCTGGATACACCTGATATTAAAATTGGAAAAAATATATTATTATAAAGGGGAAATTACAAACATAATTTGCCAATTTTTTTCTTGACAGTAAAAAGTTTGCACTTATTAACTGCAGTAAAATCTGGTTATCTGCCCTAATAGCTATTGTCCCTTCCTTCTTCAGTGGTAAAACTCTCAGTTTTTACAAAGCACGTGACTGTCCAGCTTCCCTTACAGATAGTTACATTCATATGACAATTCTGATTAATTAAATAGAAGTGGAAGTGTTTTGTGTAGGAAAACACTTACAGGAAGACTCCTTAAAAGATAGTTATCATAATATGCCTTTGATCCTTTTCTTGTTTGTCACTTTCCAGTATCTGGAATATGGACGTGATGGCTGGAGCTTGGGCTGACATAACGGATCATGAGGATGACAGCCATACTACCGGGAAGCTGGAGAGGTGAGCAGGGAGCTTCTGAATTTGAGTGCTTTCTAAAGTAAGTCCCAAACATACTAGCCCCAAACTACCTACTTCCCAAGTTTGTTTCTGTAAGAAATAAATCATGTTGGTGGAAATGTAAATTAGTATAGCCATTATAAAATGGTACCAGAGGTCCCTCAAAAAAAATTAAAAATAGTGCTATCATATTATCCAGCAATACCACTTCTCTGTAAATAACCAAAGGAAATGAAATCAGTATGTTGAACAGGTATCTACCTTCCCATGTTCATTGCAGCATTATTCACAATAGGCAAAATATAGAATGGACCTGTACATCTATCAACAGATAAACAGATGCAGAAATGTGGTCTGTGCATTGGAATACTATCCAGCCTTTAAAAAGAAGGAAATCCTGTCGCTTGTAACATGGATGTACCTAGAGAATATATTATGTTAAGTGAAATAAGACAGACACAGACAGGCAAAGGCTACACGATCTTCCTTACATGTGAAATCTGAAAATATTTAAGGAAGCGGAGGACAGAGTGACGCTTACTAGGGTGAGAGAACGAGGCAACATTGGTAAAGAACTGAAAGTCGCAATCGTGTAGAATGAATACGTTCTAGAGATCTGTTGTACAGCATGAGGACTGTGATTAATAGTGCTGCCTTATATACTTGACATTTGCTGAGAAAGTAGATTATAAAAAAATTGGTAACTGTGTAAAGAGATGGATATGTTAATTACTTTGACTGTAGTAATCACGTCACTAATGTATTTGTATATCAAAACATCATGGGCGGTGCCTGTGGCTCAAAGGAGTAGGGCACAGGCCCCATATGCCAGGCGGGGTGGGTTCAAACCCAGCTCTGGCCAAAAAAAAAATCATGTTGTATATTTCAAATATACACCATTTATGTTAAGAAAATAATTAAAAAGCAAAGAAAAAAGTAATAAGTCTGTCAACTTACTAGTTTTAGGTGATGAAAATATGAGTGATGGGGGTTGGTTCTTTTCTTCATTTTTAAAATGAAAATAGATATTTGTTATTGATTTAGGAAAAGAAATGAATTGTGTCTATCTTGTTTAAAGTCTTGTTATTTGGAGTTTCTTCGCCTGCAGCTGAATGTAATTCTAACCAATGCTTTATACATACCCTTTAAAGCACAAGGGAAGGTAATATATTTATCACCACTAAGGTTCACGCCTTTAAATGGAATATAATATCATGTAAGATAGCAGCGTAACAAAGACTATGTTTAAATAGCAGATGTCATATCCTGGCAAAAACAT